TAAGCACTCACTCACTTTAACACATTTTGTACTAAGATCCCGGCAACCACTCCCATAGTGGTAGGAAGACTGGCTGCACAAACACCTTCTCGTTTCAGAGTCTTTTCATCAATATTTGCAGCAACTACAAGGGGTGGAGCACACTACATGAAAAAGAATAAAACACATTCCAAAAGAAAGAAGGAAAAAGTATGAGATGTTTCAAATGGTATTCCATTACATTTAAGTTTGTTTCTTTGAATTGTAATGCATTTTCAATGCCCCTAAGAACTCTAGTACCTAACAGTGAAAAATAAAATAATGCATACCGCAAAACAAGCAGATTCTCCAGGAATTATGAGCTGTATATGCCCCGAAACTGCATTTTCACTGACCCCAGATTCCATCCATATTTGTCCAAGTTCATTACAAGCCTTAATAGAAATAAGTGAAAACACAAGGAAGAACAAGAAGTAATTTACAATAACTTCTTTTCATGAAAAATTGGGGTTTAACTGAATAGATTACCAAAGGTTTCTTAAAACTAACTTCTGTAATAAATGAGCAAAATTGTAAGTAGTGGAATTCTTTGCTAACTACCGCATTCTATTTAAATAATAAACTGACAGTATTCAAGAAGCAGTCAGTAAATAATCTGTTTATTAAACTGAACTATAGTTTTACTGGATATCTTGTCAGATTAACGTAAAAATTCATTTTTCTAAAATAATTTCAGCAACAAAAAATGCCAAAATATCTGAAAAGTTAAAAACAAAACAGTAATTCAAAAGAAAAAGAATTCTTGGTTGGACACGGTGCTTTACACCTGTAATGCCAGCACTTTGAGAGGCTGAGGTGGGAGAATCACTTGAGGCTATGAGTTCAAGACCAGCCTAGGCAACATAGCAAGACCTTGTCTCTAAAAAAAATTTTTAAATTAGTGGGCTGTGGTAGTATGGGCCTGTAGTCCCAGCTACTCCAGAGAGGCTGAGGCTAGAGGATTGCCTAAGCCCAGATGTCTGTGGCTGCAGTAAGCCATGATCACACCACTACACCACTCCGGCCTGGGCAGGCAACAGAGTGAGACCCTCATTAGAAACTAAGAAGGGCAGAGGAAGAAAAAGAGAGGGGAGGGATAAAAAATTACCTATCGGGTACAATGTACACTGTTCTGGTGATGGGTACACTAAAAAGCCCTGACTTTAGCATTATACAATTCATCCATGTAACAAAAACTCTTGTACCCCCTAAATCTATTAACATTTAAAAATATATTTT